CTTTTGAAAATGAGTGATATGTTATAGCTTACTAAAATCATGGTGTGCCTTGTTGAAACTGACTAGACTTCATCAATTTTGATGTATTGTTGTCATCGAATAATTACGGTACTGCACTCATCCAACAAATCAATTTCACACACTCTAAAACATATTCATCTATGTTATTTAGCTCTTTGAATATTTGGTACAACTCTAAGTAACTTTGTTGGTCGAGAGTTAGTAGAGAAACAGCAAATGATATAATATGTTCATCAAATTCCACGTCAAACACATGGAGATAATACACTTCAGCTATCAATTGAAAGATGTTGGAAATGTAGTAAACAGTTAACAATATTATTAAAATTTCATTGTTTACCTACATTAGTGCATTTCCGTAAAGCTTTTCCGTAATATAATCAGGGCATAAACTATTTTCAAAACTCAAGTAGAATTTATAATGCTTTCTAAGTAGAGAAAAACATTGAGCATCGACTTCTCTAGGACATGTCATTGTACCACACCCACCATAAATATCAACCTATGAAATAAATCAAGGAAAAAGCAATTTATTTCTTCAGCATTGAAAGAAACCTGGTAATTACAAAATAAGTAATAAACAAAAATATTTTGCAACAGGATATCAGAATATGTTATGGAATCTAGTCGGCTATAACGACCACGAACATTGTTACACAAAATCAAATTCAAGAGGTCGATTTGATGAATAATATTTATTGTATATATAAGTATAAACTGGTTATTTATAAAAAATTCAGAAATTTTCCAAAGTGAACTTGATGTTCTCAATTGTAAACAAGCTGGGGAAATGTGTGAGATGAGAGAGGGTTAATGAGGTATTTATGAATGTGGAAGGTTTTACTTTCATGTGTCATCTTACTTGTAATGTTACGAAGCATATAGTCAAAATCGACAACTGCAATGCCTATAACTATCAACAGGACAATACACATATGTATCTGGAGCAATGACCGCCATTCAGTGAGTGATCAAACTGAAAAGTGAGCACTTACTATGCGGCTGATGTGATGGTCATCACTACCATGAACATCGCTTTTCAGATTTATTACGCGTCAGACTACAGAAAATTTGAATTTAACGACGAAGTCGAAATCCCAGCTTTATACTTTGTCGATATTATGGTACGTTCCTAATATCTATTGAAAACAATCACTAAAGTATGTAAATTCACTTAATTTCGACACACAAATTGGCTCAATAACAATCCATATGGCAAATGAAAATTATCGTGAGAGTCATTTAATGACAGTCATTATTTGTGACCTAGCAGTTGATGAACTTTGGATCCAGTAAATAGAATCAGTGATAGATGAATGTTATGGTAAATCTCAAAGAATCAGTGGAAAGTTCAAAGCATAATAAGTAGATAAGGTTCAAAATTATAAATACGTTGCAGCAGACTCGTACTCACTTAGTCTCTTTCTTGTATGAATCGTTTGCGTAATAAATGTTTTACGCACTATACTAATAACTATTTTGATGAATGAGTTACTAACTATTAAAGCAATGAGTTGTTTTATGAATTTTAGTAGAACAAAAAGATTAACAATGTCTTCTCACTGTTCAATCAGCTTTTGCTCACACCATTTTTATATACATGTGGCATGCTGTATGTCTGTATGACCACACTATTCTTGGACTAAACAAATTGATGAAAATCTCTACAATAATCTAACCAACGAGGCTAATTTATGCTCCATCCACTTCTTAACTTGTGCTTTGATCTGATGAAAAAGGTTACCTGAAATACAGCACTAAAATATTTCATATAAGTCTTAAAATCGTGTTGTCGTTTGAGCTTGTTATGTATTGGAACCATTGTAGGCAAACATATGAAATGAAATCGGTAACTATATAATCTGGGTTCTCACTTGAATATAACGAGATAACTCGTTTACGTAAATCATTCTCGGACTTTTAGGTTGACAGTTGCTTACAAACCATGCTACCATTTTAGATTTACCAGTGGCATAATTACGGGAAGGAAGTACGTATTTTGTATCTGGACCATGACTAGCAACATATGGGATATAATTGTGATACGGTAAATAAATTGTTGAATCCATTCGATAAGAGATTGTGTAGTTGACCTGAGTGAAAAACACCAAAATATACTAAACATTTAGATATGTGAAGAATAATTTTAAAATGCCAATACGAAAAATATTTCCACAGTCTAGTCATATACTGGTAACTACTAAATCGAGAGTTGATGTTTTCCAGTAAATGATTGTTTTTGGTATCCTTTGAAAAAGGATTAAGCCGCGTCAAACCGGGACATTTTATCGAACTATGAGCGCTCATGTCTCATGAATGCTTTTCCTCTTGCATCGAGTCGTTTGTGTCAGTGCATGATTTCTTATTAGCGAAAATATTTTGCAACTAATCAGGATAAACTTAATCCATGATACACATCGTTATTAAGAAGCAGTCATGAAACTACGAAGTAAATACTTCCAAACCTTACCATTGTCACTTCAATGTTTTTAAAGACAGTATCGCACAGTTGTATATTATACGATTTCATTAAGGTCTATTTTGAAATAAAGCAAAATACATATATGTTTGTTACTGCAATGTCTCAGGAGATGGATATTGATGTAGATGACTGTAAATTTCGTAATATTATTGACATTATTCTTGATGTAATACAGTTTTACCGATATATATGCAGTTAAAGTTTGCGCGACTAGGTAATTGTCAGATAAGGCGTCTAAAATTGGAATTGAATTAAAATATCACCCCATACAAATTGCACACTTTTGAATTTACATGCTTCACAGTGGCACATGTATAAAGTAATAATAAACCCACTGGATGTTGAAAAATATTTGGGACATCACAGTGAGATATTCGTTCAAGTTAATCTCTGAGTTGTTAATGCTTCTTTAGTTTCCGAACTTATCCTCAGTTTGAAAATATTGTTCTGTTTTGGTTTCCAGGATATGAGTAAACTCTTGAACATATTTATAGATCAAGTGTTATTTATCTCGAGGCCTCACTGTTACCAACCCTCTTGTTCCCACCATCTGATTGAGTGGTTTGTTTCACTAACCAAAACTTTCGAAGGAATGACAGTCTTGGGTGTTTGACAAACTGTCTAGTTACAGGACTTTTACGTAATTCCAGAATTGTAAATACAGAATATCTAGTTGCTCATTTGAAATGAGCTTTCACTTAAAATTTTATAGTGATTTGATTTTTTCCATAAATGGTCTGAAGTTGAATTGTTTCATTCTAGTCAGTGAATAAACAAGTAGAAACTCATTATTACTCAATAGTGTCCTATTGTTCTAAACTAATGTCTCAATATCATTTGAGTTACAAATAATAAATAACAAATGTTGAACAAGCCACCTTATGCTAAAAACCATACTTGGATGTTTCATCTGATATTCTACTTTTAATGAATTTGTTGATAAATTTTACTTAATAGGATTCAATGCAGGTTTTAAGGCCGTTCACATGCAATTGACGAAACCAGAGGACGTATTGACGAATGCTTTCACATTTCCCAATATCTGAAGTAAGTCGAAAGTTTTTAACTCACTTCATTTTCCAATCCATCAGCGATTCTAATGTTTGGGGGAGATTCATGTACAAAAATGAACCATAGCTGATTTGGTGGTCTTGGACCTTTAGGATGCAGGTGATCTGTCAAGATTATAACATCGGCTTCAAGCCATCTTGATCTGTCGAAAATCAGTTCACAATCACAAGCGAAACATAAGGAGAAGTTTCGAATAATATTGATACGAAGGTTTCCATAGTTGAGAATTATTTTTCTCTGCAAAATACAATTAACCGAAGAGATACTTCATTCGAATAAGCGAAGGCTATACAGAACGATAGAATTTTGGTGATAATACCTACATCAGACTTTAAAATATCCGTAAACATTAGTAAGTACTGGTAATTATTTTCATTTAGATAAGATTAAAAGTTGTGAGTGCACGACAAGTCTGACAACAATACACAATCCATAGACTTTATTTCTAGAGAAGTTCACTTGACAATTATGACTTATGAGGTATGATAAGTAGAAGTTTAGTACGGTGTCGTATAATTATCTGTTTTTATCTTTCAATCTCAATGAAAGTGAAACTTGCTGTAGTAACTTTCTAAATAAGTATATTGATCTTATGTTTGTCTTTACTAGCTTAAAACTGAACTAAAATCGCTGGTCTCACAATTGCATTCCATTCAAAAGTTGACTTAAGACAACGCTGCATATTAGTCATTTCAGCATCTGCAAACTATTGTAGCTTCACAAACCTGATTACGAAATATCCATTTGTCTTAAAGTTGGCTGCATCTTTTGAATAATAAAGCGGTTGTATAAATGTAGAGCTTGATAACAAGTTATTATAGAGAATATTCTACATTTGTATTTTCTTGTGGTAAAAGACCACTGCAGACCGCTGTCAATTTGATTATTTTTGTGGAAGAGACCTTTAGATAGCACTTCCAAGAGTATGAAGATTTCTTGTATTGACACCTATTTTAATATGAATTATGAAAACTTGTAAGCTTTCTGAAATCTAGTGACTTGAATAAAGCCGAGAATATTGAGTGGTTTTAATGTCCCAACAATATGTGACGCTGCTTCGACGATTGAAGCTGGGATGTCAACTTAGTTTAATGCTTCCTGACCTTATATTATTTACTGCTAATATAGTTTTAGTTCAATTGAAATTGTGTCCAACTCTGATTGATAAACAGACACAGAAATTTCTTTTTCATAATAATGCTGACTAAACAACCAGAACATCAGTACAACTTGAGTGTATGCAATATCATAATTAGGTAAAAAAAGATAGTCTGAAATAAGAATATCGTGATTAATTCATTCGTATTGTTAAGCAAAAATAGGGTCAGAGTGATTATGATACAATGTATAGAACAAAATGAGAAGTCCTGTCAACTGAAGCAATTACCATCAAAATCTAGTAGAAAAGTCATTCTAAAAAACTCACGGCAGATGGAGTAGATTTCACTTCATATAATTTTTCAAGATCTTTCTCAGTAAATCCGAGTGTAATTTTATTTTCATACCTCGTCATTTGTGATGCAATATAATAGGTCTGATTTGAATTACGCGCTGAACTTGAATAACTTTCACGTGGTAATACATTGTAGGAGAAACCATCATCATTTCGTGATAAGCCGAATTGTTCCTTCCATTTAAATTGAAAAAGTAATTTTGTCAGTTGATAACTTGTGCATACTATGATTGCAAGTTGAACTGCCAGTACAACTAAACGCCTAACACGCTTCATGAGGAAATGGAATTGACGAAATGCCTGATTCGATCTTCTGTAAGTAAGTTAGCAATTATGCGGAGGGTTATACTATAACGGACCAACTACTCAGAGCTTCTTAGATTTCAGTGTTTTGTCTAGCTAACAACAGCTAGTGAATGAAACTGTGGGAAATCAACCAATTTCGTGACTGAATAGCTTCATCTATGTTGCTGGTATAAAATAAGTTATGACAATTACTGTTCGTCATTTGCTCATTTCATTTTAACGCAAATTTTAAAAATGTTTAGATATTAGTCGGTTTTACATGTGAATACGTGTGTACAGAATGAGTATTTTGTCTGAACACTAATTTCAGTGGTCATTTAGTCACTTTAGTACTAACTTTTTTTATGTATTTGACAAAATTTAATGAATCAATTAGGAGAAACATCTGGCAATTATCTTCCTGTTTTCATCATAATACATCTAGTGTTAAATAACAATAACGTTTGCCAGTTTCTCAGTATTGGTAGGATGATAAGAATCACTCTTCGATATCCCCATTCCTATTACATTCACTGAAACTTAATGGTTATTGACGTTGATCAACCTTCCACTAACATAATTTCTAATATCCAAAACTAATGCTCACTATCTCAGTGATTAGTGAAGAGATACGAGCAGATAAACATGCTAATTCCGTTGCATATTGACATTAGTCAGAAACTCCATGTTAGAATAGTAACTGCCATAAGTATTTTATTACATGAGTATCGCTGAATCATCTTCACGTTAGGTATGATAATTAGTCAACGTGAATTTACCCGATATATTAGAATTTTACGTGAAGTGAATTTAGGGTCACAACAATGCTGTCTCGATTTGAATGTTCAAAATCAAATGATGCTTGTCTTTTTCATTCATATCCTCGAGGCTTTAAGATTAGATGTCATAATCTTCCAGAAATCATTATAGCTTCCAGATGGAGCTCGTATTCCGAAAGAAGAAATGAAACCAACAGAGATAGGGATGTTCTTACAAAGCTAGAAGTAATCTACGGAAAGCAATTTTATGTAGACGTTTCCATACAATTTAAAAATTTATAAAATTAGTCATAAATAAATTACAACGGACTTGTTGATGATTCATTTTTACTCAACTGTTTATTTGGATGTATGAAATATATTCAAACCACATTTCAATTCTCTTTGATAAAAATGAATACTGTTATCCAAATTGAAATATAATAGTTATGAAAAACAGACTAATTGGTAAATTAAACATACCTGTTATTTTGTAGTGAACCCATTGAACTATTGTATTATTTGTGCAGTACAATGTAATTTAAGCATCTATTCCAGTATATAAATTAATGTGTGAGTTTATTGAGCTCATGTCTGCACATCAATATTCATTTATTCTCTCATTGGTTGTAAACACAAACAATCAATAATTTATTTACAACCAATTAACACTCGTAAGTAAACATGGTTTTGAGTTTGCTTACATTGTTCCTATTCGTTTCTTTTCCACTCTTTTGTATATTGTTTTGTACTACTTATTTATATTCAATAAGCAGTTGTTACGCAAGTTGTAGTGCATTATTCTGAATTGTTCACATATATTTATGACGTTTATTGTACTTATCATTGTATTATTACTTTGTCTTAATCACTGTAGCGGTTATCCACAGTTTCGTGCATTTGTTTAAACGCAACACTTTTCACATAGTTTTGCTCTTGGTTCGGGTTTCGGTTGTTCATAAACTGGAATCAAATTTAAACACAGCTATCAGCTGTCCTTTGTAATATCGTCTGTTATAATAATTCTTTATGTTACTGTTACAGGAAGCCTTTATATTTTTATACTTGAAGGACGCGTTTAAGCGCACCAGACACTTCACAAATTGAGGTTTGTAACTAAATGTTGTGTATTATTCAATTGTAGACAATACGTTGTTTTGGAACTTTGGTTTCGGGCGTATCTCAATCAGGTGAACTAATCGCTTCGATAGATCTAACACATAAATTTCCAACACTCACACAGGCCTT